TATTTTAAAAAATGAAATGTGTGAAAGGGGATTATGATTTTCTCTGGCTCATCTACTTCACAACAGTCGATTTTTAGGAATATCTTTGGCCGGTCTGAACACCCTTGGCTTCCTTTTCAACTTTATATAACGGACAAATATCCATAATTTCTGTAACTTTAAGGTTATTCATGAAGAAGAACAATGTAATGGACACCATCCGTTATCTTTTTACGGAATGTAATATAATTGCAGCCAGTTGGAACAATCTACTTATAGAAAAGAAGTGCCTTCTCAGGATCACATTTAAAATGAACAGGGAACAATCCAAACCCCTTGAAACGCCACCCCACTCCTTCCAGGCAGACCTAAAACCACCCCACTCAATTCTAAGAAATGTAACCAAGACTCCCTGCCCCTCCCCGCCATCCCCATTTCACTTCCCAATGTGGCTTTCTTTGCTCAAAAGCGAAAACCCTTTTGACTTCCTCTTCTCCCTCGTTACCACTGTTGTCAAACACTGGCATTCGCAGCCAAAACTTTTGTCGCTCCAGCAGCATTGCATCACCCTGGGCTTTGGTCCAAGGCTGCTTTCTGGAGAAGCTGACGCAAGGCCTCAATTCACCGTGTCCTCATTGTCAGCCTAGTCTTCCCTGGAGAGGTTTTGGTCTGTAGCCCTGGCTTCCCATGTCAGATTTTCCTCAACATAATCTGGAAAAAAACAAAAACATAAATATATATATCTCTCTCTCTCCCGAAAGCCAGATCCCGGAGCCAAGAGTAGACATCTGTGCTTGTGTTTGGTGAGGCATCTCCTCCGATCCAGCCTCAGGCGGAGGAGGGAAAACTTTACTTCCTCCATTAATTATGTCTGCGGTGGGTCAGTGGCACTAAGCAAGAGCAAAGGCACAAGCCTTTCCCAGTTTCGAAATGAGGCCACAAACGTTTCCTGCTCACATATTTTAATTTCAAGCTGAACATGTTAAAAAACAATTAGTAAACTTCTCCAAGAGTTTTTAATGGTGTTTCCTCTTGATATGTAAGGAACCGTAAAGAACAGAAGGATGAAAAAGTGACTTCATTAGAGCTGACTTAATACCTAAATAAGAAAGTCCTATTGACGAACTTTTCCAATAATAATATTGGCTGAAATCCATCAGGAAGTACTCCCACACCAGCTAATATTAGTGGAACCTCAGAATGGATTATCCCATATGGGATTTTTTTGGCACTTGTTGTACTTTAGGCTATTTAAAGTGTTATTTAAGTATTGCTTTTAGTGATATAGCTGCATCCACTGCTTTTTAGGACTCATTTTCAGGATGGGCCAATGGTTCCAGACTGGTGGCTGTCAATTATCTTTTTTCGGGACATGACTTTCGGTTGGGGGGAGAAAGGAAAAAAGACTGCCCAGCACAGGCATCAAAGGTTTACTTGCATCTGTGTAAACTGAAGGCAAGTTCTACCATCATGTGAAGATGGTAGGATTTGCCTCGTCACCAGGCCCTGGAAAGCCCTAAGAATAGGCTTTGATACCATTTTTCCATCCTCTCTTCCAAACACTGCTGGATGACTAGGCATAGCTTCTATTTAATCAGGCCACAGTAGGAATTTAAAGTGGTAGCAAGGCACAGCGCCGACCCTACCATTAGACAGTGTGGCATCTGCAGCAGTCAGCAGATGTTGGATGTCATGAAAGAGAAGCTAATTGGTAATTATTGTTACTGCCTTTTAACTGGTAGGAGAATAGCTGTGGGATTAGGTCTCAGGGCCCAAAATAACTGTGTTGGATAGTATGCCAGGCCAGCAAGGAGGACACGGTTTCAACTCAAGCGACCAATGTTCTGGGGGTAGTCCTGAGCGCAGACAGTCAGTTAAGTGTTGTGACTGAGGCACCAGATTAAAACCCAGGAGACCAGGAATTTTAGTCCCGCACGAAACCAGCTAGATGATCTTGAACCAGTCATTGTTTCTGAACCCTAAGAAGCAGGCAATGGCAAACAGCTTCTGAAAATCTTGTCAGGAAAACAAGATGGACTACGACCCGTGATGGTGAACCTATGGCACGTGCGCCAGAGGTAGCACGCAGAGCCCTCTCTCTGGGCACGCGAGGCATCGACCCAGCTCAGCTCTGCTGCACATGTGTGTGCGTGCCTCCTGCCGGCCAACTGGTCTTGTGATCGTAGGTCAAGGACTACCTTGTTCTGTATTCTGTACAGTCGTAGATTTTCTCTTCTGTACAGATGCAGATAAATAAACTCAACAAAACATTCATACAAAGTCTTCATTATTGGTTCATCAGGTATCCTCATAATTCACATTTGTGATGAAGTTCTTCTTAAGGTCCAATCCTTTGCATATCTGTCTTGTAGGTAAAAAGATGGTTATCTCCTTATCCCTTTCCTCCCATCTGGTAGCGGTAGAGGTAGAGCAGTTACCACGAGTCAGTGAGTTCAGCCAAGGGTGAGGAAACTTCCCCCAACCCATCAAGGGTTAATTTAGTGACCAATCAGGATTGCAGATGTGGTCACGTGATATGGACTACATTTCCCAGGATACCTTAACTACATTTACCATGATGCATTCCATTAAGGGGACAGCTCAAAATTGCTAACTAATTATCCAATTCCCATACACTGGCTGGACAGCACACAACTATAAGAACCGGACTCTGCTAAATCACCCCCATGTACAATTATGTTAAATGGAGCATTTCAGTTCTCAATATCCCAAAAGATCGAACCAGAAAGAGCGTATGCGATGGTTAGCTTCAGGTTGGCTGGATTTGGGGCCAGACAAGCACACGCGGGGGCGCACACACTGGAGTCACGCATGCATGCACGAGGGCACAGGGGGGTTGTGCGCAGGGGTTGCACATACATGCACGGGGCTGTGCACAAATACGCAGGGGTTGTGTGCACATGCACGGAGGTGTGGGGCATGCACGCATGTTGCATTTTGGGGATGCGCACACGTGCTTTGGGCACTTGGTACCGAAAAGGTTAGCCATCACTGGACTAGGCAGTGGCCAGGAATTATCCCCAAGTTGAAGACACATATTGCATAGAGTCTAACATTCTGCCATCTTCCAACTTTAAGGTCACCATGTCCCATTGATTACAAATGTGACTGTCTTGCCCCAAGTGCAGGCAACCTGAAGCTAACCATGGCATATGCTCTTTCTGGTTCGATCTTTTGGGATATTGAGAACTGAAATGCTCCATTTAACATAATTGTACACGGAGGTGGTTTAGCAGAGTCCGGTTCTTATAGTTGGTACAGGTAGTCCTTGATCTATGATCACAATCGAACCCCAAATTTCTGTTGTTAAGTGAGACATTTGTTAACTGAATTTTGTCCCATTTTATGACATCTCTTGCCACGGTTAAGAGAATGACCACTGTTGTTAAGTTAGTAACTCAGCTGCTGAGTGAATGTGTTTTTTTCATTGACTTATCTCCAGACACAGCAATCATGGTAAATACGAACCAGTTGCCAAACATCTGGATTTTGATCATGTGACCATAGGGATACTGCAAAAGTTGTTAACTGTGAAAAATGGTCATAAGTCACTACTGTTGTAACTTTGAATAGTTCACTAAACAAACCGCTGTAAATCTAGGATTACCTCTACTACTCGGGCTTTTTCAGCTGCAGTTTGTGAGTCTGGATCAATAAGGACTCAGATCAGATCCAATCTGATCCGATTCCTCTTTTCCAGCTGTTGATCTGCAGCTTGGGGCTCCCATTTCCGAATAACCCAGGGGTCTCCAACCTTGGCAACTTTGAGCCTGGAGGACTTCAACTCCCAGAATTCCTGAGCCGGCTGGGGAATTCTGGGAGTTGAAGTCCTCCAGGCTCAAAGTTGCCAAGGTTGGAGACCCCCTTTGCTGGCTGGGGAATTCTGGGAGTTGAAGTCCTCCAGGCTCAAAGTTGCCAAGGTTGGAGACCCCCTTTGCCGGCTGGGGAATTCTGGGAGTTGAAGTCCTCCAGGCTTAAAGTTAACCAGGTTGGAGACCCCCTTTGCTGGCTGGGGAATTCTGGGAGTTGAAGTCCTCTAGGCTGAAAGTTGCCAAGGTTGGAGACCCCCTTTGCCGAATGGGGAATTCTGGGAGTTGAAGTCCTCCAGGCTCAAAGTTGCCAAGGTTAGAGACCCCCTTTGCTGGCTGGGGAATTCTGGGAGTTGAAGTCCTCCAGGCTCAAAGTTGCCAAGGTTGGAGACCCCCTTTGCCGGCTGGGGAATTCTGGGAGTTGAAGTCTTCCAAGCTTAAAGTTGCCAAGGTTGGAGATCCCTGGTAATAACCCACGCCGGAGATGAGAGTGGCGCGCGTGTATCTGCGCCACGCTCCGCTTCTTTCGACCCTTCGCTTTAACCCGCGCTCGGCGGAAAGAAAGAGACGAGCAGATTGGGAAACGCGCCAGTTGCTCGACCAGGAGACCTACCGTACCGGTGTCTCCGAAGCGGGAAAGCTCGCCTAGTTTCCTGAGGAAAACCACTTTTCGAGTTTTCTTGCAAGGAAACGGGGAGAAGTTAGCTTTAAGCTCCCTGAGTCCCCGCGGGAAACCGACAACAGAGGGGTGCGTGGGCGGGGGGGGGGAGCCAGCATCCCGGCGGTTCACCACACCCTCTTTTCTCCAGCAAGCGAGCAAAACTAATCTATTATTTTCTTCGGCCGGTTGCGTCACAACCTTTTTTAAACAAACAATAATAATAAAAAAAAAACCTGCCACTGCCAAAATCGATAGCCTGCCAACATCTGATCGAGAAAACTCCCCGTCTAGCACCTCCCCTGCCACGAGAATCGGAAGGGCTAGATAGGAATCCGGGGAGTGTTTGCTTCTCCCCACTTTTCTTTTTTTTCTTCCACGTATTGAAAACCTCAGATAGGGAAAAAAGAAAGAAGGAAGGAAGGAAGGAAGGAAAGAAAGAAAGAGAAGGAAGGAAGGAAAGAAAGAAAGAAAGAAAGAAAGAAAGAAAGAAAGAAAGAAAGAAAGAAAAACCGGAGTCCAAAACGCCCCCCCCCCGAGTCCGCGCGTGTTTTTTTCTTTAAAGTTTCATTTTATTTTATTTTAATGCAGCCCTAATTCTTCGCCCTGCCTCCCAAGCCTTCAGGAAGATCGCAAAAAGAGAGAGAGAGAGAGAGAAAAGGAAGAAGCGTCAAAGCCACAAGACGATGCAACGCCCCGCCGCCCTGCCGAGAGCAAAAGCCTGTCGCGGCCCCCCTTCGGCCTGAAAAGCAGAAGCCCGTCTGATTCTGCCCGACGGCTCCTCTGCCTCAGCCCGCGCCCATGACTAGCGAGCGGTGGCGGCAAAAAAGGCGACCGTAGTCAGAAGAGGCGGCGGCTGAGGAGGAGAAGGAGGAGGAGGAGGACGGCTGAGCCCTCCCCTCCTCCTCGTTTTTTTGCCTGGGCGAAGAATGCCGGAGGCGCCTGTGGCCGCCCTGCGCGGAGCTTGAAGGCAGCGCCTGGTGCCTCCGTCGTCGACGCCTAGCCTCGACCATGGTGGTGGCTCCCTTTTCCTGAAGCCGAGCGGCTTTTATAGCCAAGGACGGAGGGTTTTCCGCCGTCCCCCTGGCCGCGGGCTGGTATGCGCGGGCAGCGGCGGGATGGCCTCGGCTGTGTTTGAGGGCACCTCGCTGGTGAACATGTACGTGCGGGGCTGCTGGGTGAACGGCATCCGGAGGCTGATCGTCAACCGACGCGGGGACGAGGAGGAGTTCTTTGAGATCCGAACCGAGTGGTCGGACCGGAACGTCCTTTACTTGCACCGCAGCTACTCGGACTTGGGCCGCCTCTTCAAGCGCCTGCTGGACTCCTTCCCGGAGGATCGCCCCGAGCTGTCACAGTCCCCCTTCCTCCAAGGTTTGCCGGCCGCCTCGTTTTCTGACTTTCTCCCACCCCCCACCCCCATCCCATCCTCTGCCCACTTGATGCACCGTCGCTAAGGCGAGAGGAAGTTCCCTGAAAAGGAGCGGCGCTTCCTTCCCGCCACAGTTGAAGGATCGGGGTGGAGTAGTGGGGGAAACTTTTCGCTTCTGATTAAACTTGTTGGCTGCCGAAGCCTAAATAGACCCCGACGTTTTCTCTGAATCCCTTCCTTGTAGTAGAGGAAGGCAACCAGGATAGGACAGTGTCTAAGCCACTTTCGAAGAGAACAAAACAGGACAGAGAGATTTGCAAGGGACCTTGGAGGTCATCTAGTCCAACCCCCTGCTCAGGCAGGAAACTCTTATCTAAATCTATACCATTTCAGACATAGACTCAGAACTAGTCCTGGTCTCAGTCAGCCTCTTGACATTCATGACCAATGGAATGTCTCTGGGCATACCAAAAGCCCCTTTCTCCCCACCCCCCTCCCAAGGCTTCACCACAAAAACGGGGATAAGAAATACTTGTGATAATTATTTTTTCTGCTAATGACCGAAAGTGAGGATGGGAATGAATGGGGCCGGTTCCACAAGGACAGAATAATAATCTCCTTTTTTCCTTGGCCACGAAGAAGGACTGTAGGAATTGAGGGGGCAGAGAGCCACGTGGCTGGTCAGCTCCACCCTAGACCTCCTTGAGTTCAGCTTTTGAGAATGAGAAGTCCTGCCTGGGTCTTTCTGAGTGTCGGCTTCTGTGGGTGTTGAAAATGGTTAGCCTGTTGAACTGCCTTTTAATTCTGAGGATTGCTCAAGTACATTCCTAAAATGAAACTTTACTATAGTTGTGATTGCTGTTGTAATGGGGAGTTGTGATGTAATGTGCACTTATTCGGATTTTCTGACTTTTGGCATGGAGTTTGCAAATTTTATCAATGCACCTTAAATTTCAGCCTCATAAGTGGTAGGGACGCTGGTAATCGGAAAACAGCAAAGAAATAGCCTCATAACACATTTTGTTTTACCAATTACTGATTGTTCATACAAGTGAGTCCTGTTTGTTCTTTGGACACTCAGTAATCACCTCTGTGCAGAGCTGGTGTAAGTGCAGGACATCCTAATTCATCAAATGTTTACCGACCCAAGTAGATAAACAGTTATTGCAGCAGAATAAGTGAAGCTAACTATGATACTCTGATTAAGTGACATTAATCCAGGAATCCATGATAGCAAAGTGGAAGGACAGATGATCCTTCTGAGCCTCCCAGAGTTGCTTGAATAGTGAGCTGGACAGCACAAAAATTTAATAAATAAAAATATAAAATAAACTTTTTCTCCCTTCCAGCCTTGTTCTGTTCCTTCAGATTTCTAAATTACTACATAGACTCAAATCAGCTGCTGGACACCTTGAAACATTCATTAAAATAGATGCTTTAAAATAGTAAAGCCAGTAAGAAATGTGCTGCCACCAACTAGCTTTTCCATGCTGTTTCAAGATTATAAGTGTTGCAGGGACTGAATTTACCTGGGTCTGCAAGGGAATCCTATAATTATACTGCAGCTCTCAGAAATACCCCTTCATTCATTATGAGAAACAAAAGTTGAAACAAAAATGACTCAGGTGGAATGACAGAACAGATCCTCAGAACCAACTTATCCTTGTGATAAACTGATTATCAAATTGAATAATCATCTAGATAATTATTGAAGATAATCCCAGAAAAACACTTGTCACAAAGGGAAATTAAGGGCTGTTGGTTTGTATTCCTGACTCTAAATTCAGATGTAATCACCATGTTGGCAAATTTTACATTTGATATTTATGGTATATGGTTCATACATTTCTTCATCCAACATGTATGCATTTATTCAACTAATATATGCGTTTCTCACAGGCAGGTTTAATTTGATGTGTAAAATACGTTCTGATAAAGGGCTTTTGACCCTTACTATTTGGTAACATTTGTAAGAGTCAAATATTTAAATGCTAATGTTCCTTTAAAGCACCTTGAAAATGTAAACGCTCTATATTATATATTTTAAATTCCTGTTATCATACCACCTCTCTTAGTTGGATGATATTTCCAGCCCAGGATATATCAAAAAACCCTTTTTAAATTCATTTTGGAGGTGATTTTAACTGAAATGAAAGAAACCTAAATATAGAAAAAAGGGTAGGATCAAGAATCTTTTTAAAAGACGTAGCTTGCTTTTAATAATGAAATACAAAGAAACACAAGAAAAGAAAGAAAAATGATAGTGGTATACAGTGAAGAAAAAAAATCATAGATTTATTTTGGTCATTATTAAATTTATCTAAATGTAACAAAAAGAAGGAAAAAGGCTAACTGGCAAAAAATAAAGAAAACATCCATATGATAATATAATAAAAATGAAACTTAAATATTGACCCCTTTCTGCAGTGTTAAGAAGCTTTCTCTCCATTTCATTGTTCCTCCCAAACTGTAGCCTCCGTTACACCTGTGTTTATGATAATTGTTTTTAAGAAAAAGAATGAAATGCTATGTTGTGGAAGGCCTTGCTTGTTCCTTGTGCAGTTTTGCATGGAGTCATGTATAAGATGGCAAGTGCATGACCGTAAGAACAAGCAGTGCAGTCAAGTCACGTTAAAATCCTTGGCAGGCAGTTTTGTTGTTAATTCTGTGGTTGTACTTTGGCTCCGATTGCTGGGAAACCAAACGGGGTACTCAAGCTCTATGTACACAGGCAGTACATAGTTGCTGCTGAAACTGCTGAATAGATAGATACAGAGGGAGAAAAATGGATGGAGTCCTCTGTTTCAGCAACTCTGTGGATTGATCTTCTGGCTAGGTAGCATAAAGTCACAGCTAGAGTCTCATAGCTAGTTCACTGCTCTGGGTTACCTTAGAGAAATTTGAGCATTTGTGGTCAGGCTGTAAATGCCTCGTAATCCTCATAAGGAATAAGACATCTTGACAACACCGATTTCATACAGATATAGATAGTTCAAGTTAATATTTCTCAGGCCACTAAGTAAAGCACATGTGAGGTGACTGGATTCACATGTTTTTCTTTTGGTTGGAGAAGTGGTCTCAGATTTGGAAGTCTGGATAGCAGCCCAAATAATGGCTTGCTGAATGTTTTGAGTTGGCAAATATATGTGGTAGATATATTTGAAGGTATAACTTAGAAGAATACCACTTCTTCTCTAGTTGGTTGATGATCATACTTTATTAAAGAATTAAATTAGCTAAGGGCAGAAATCTTCCTACACCACAATTCAGATATGCAAAGGATTGGACATTAAGAAGAACTTCGTCATAAATGTGAGTTGACAGGATGCCTGATGAACCAATAAAAAAGACTTTGTATGGATGCTTTGTGGAGTTATCTGTCTGCCTTTGTACAGTATATGTACAGTGTTTGTGCAGGATAGGCACAAACATGATGATTGAAGCGGCTGCATGGTAAGATGGTTTCAGGCAAGAGTGGGGGAGATCTACCCCAACCCACCAAGGGTCAATTTAGCGACCAATCTGGATTACAGATGTGATCACATGACATGGACTACATTTACCAGGATACCTTAACTACATTTACCATGATGCATTCCCTTAAGGGGACAGCTCACAATTCCTAACTGTCCCAAATCCCATTAACTCTAGACTGTCTGGACAGCACAGGCAGAGTTCACATACTGTACTTTGATGGAGCTTCCTTTGGTCAGTAGAATTAGAAACCAGTTGACCACAATATATCTGAATGGTGTCTACTGTCTGGTAACAATCTAGAAATTGATCTTCCCTCACAGTTCCTTTAATCATGCAATCCATAGAATATGGTTACTAAGCAAATGGGAGAACTTCATAATGTTATGGTCATAAACAAACCAGGATTAAAGCTAATCAAGCTTAGCATACTATGCATAAGCTCCTGTGATGTCTTTACCTGACTTTTGGGATATTGGATGAAGGGAGGAGAAAGGGAGATATTGTATTGCATAGGAAAGGAACTAATTAATCTCACCAGGATGCTCATTTATGATTGCAGTTCTGAATTGCATTGTTCGGAACTAAAGAAGATTAAGTATATAAGGCTAGATCATGCTTTTGGTGGCTTCATCAGTAGACTTCCAGGAACACTTGATTTTTCTGATGAGGCCACCATCATCATGAGCTAGCCTTATGTACTGAGCCTTCTATTTATCAGAAATCAGCCAGGTATGCAATAGCATTTCCCGTCATTCTTCTTTGGGCATGCCCTTACAGCATCATCAAAGGCTTTTAAAGACCAGCACATAAATCAACATTAATTATGGGACACTTGCTGGCATCATGACTTTTTCTAGATGGCATCACCAAAACACATTAATTTCATTTTTAAGCTTATGTAACTAAAACAATAAAATAAAAGAATCCTGTCTCAGGCCACACACATGCAACCTGCAGAGAGGTTTGCAAATTTTACTAGAAAGTTTTTAAGCAAATAAACAAGTAATAATCTAGGTACTGATGAGTCAATACAAAATACTTGCATCTACCTCTGTTTGTTTTGGCTGTATTTGTATTGTTTAAATTATTAAAAGGGACTAATTGTTTTAAATAAAGAAGCAGCCAAGGAAATGTGTGTGGAAGTGTGCACACATAGATGAGAGAAATCAAGTCCCTCAAAGCCCAGGAAGCTTGCCTTGAGAAAGTGTCCAAATCAAAAAAAAAAAAAAGCAGCCACAAGGACCAGATAGGGTCATCAGCCAATCCAGGTCCAGAGTCACATACACGAACATTCAAGTTGTAGGTAAGAAATGGTTTTCACCATTGGAAAGGCTTGAGCTCGCTGCTCTTCTTAAATCAGAGGTCTCCAAACTTGGCAACTTTTAAGACTTGTGGACTTCAACGCCCAGAATTCTCCAGCCAGCTATGCTATGTTATTCTGGCTGGAGAATTCTGGGAGTTGAAGTCCACAAGTCTTAAAGTTGCCAAGTTTGGGGACCCCTGTCTTAAATAGAAGCAACCGCAT